ACTGGCAATTTAACAAGACAATATTGCAAGTGTTGTATTTCTTTATGAATCTGGAATGTGACATTTCTTTGCACACAAATATAAACATATCAAGCTGCAGGGCAATTGAAAATGAAAGGTGCATTTAAATAGCCTTAAACCTGAACAGAGGGGAAGTTGGGCACGGTGTGTATCACGTGGGTATTTATGTTTCAGCAAATCGTAGAATAACATGGCAAAAATACACTGGTTGTGGTTTCAGTTGGGCTCTTCCAAAACCTAAATTTATGAAGTTCAACTGTAGGATAGATGTAGGACAGTAGGGAGCAGAGGGCAAAGTTTTGTTAATTCTCATAATCACTCTTTGTCAAACTTTTTTTTACAGTGCCAAATCTCATGTCCCCTTTTTCTTTAAGGCTTGTCAATAAATGTGAACTTTAGACTCCAAAGTTTCAAAGATGGTACTGTTTCTGAAAACTGGAAGAATGTTTTCTTCCAAGCAAGGGTGTGGTGAAATCTCCAATGTCAATTCTTATTGTTGGCCCACTCCAATTAATCTCAAGGGCTGATCAAGTTCATGAATACTTAATTGCCTTGACTGCCAGATCTCCAAAACAAAACTCACTCATTAAACAGGTTACAAGTTCATTTACCTCTTTCGGCACTATATTAAAAGTTCATTGTGCACTGTATGCAGTTACAGTTTTCAGTTCTCCAGCCTCATTCCTTATGCTATAGCCAAAATAACTGCTCGTACATATTGAAATAATGGCTTTATCTCGGGTGTAGGAATAGTATTTAGTAGCCAATATCCAAATTGCTCAAAAGGCATAATGCATGCTGATTGCATAGACATTTTTTGATTTTGAGACAATTGTTTTCTCACCATCTCAAAAATCATTTCTTTACATTAACGTTTTTGTGCAAGAAAAGTTTTTCACCAAGCAACCACATTCTTAACGTAGGTTCCATAATTCTTTGGGGCACCATCATAAGTAAACTTATTGTACCACAAAAAACGCTCCTGTTACAACCAGGGGAAGACGCAAGACTGGTTTATGCTCCCACTCCTTGCTTGACTGCAACTTGGTCAAGGTCTATGAATTTTGAAAAGAATTCTGGGTTGCCAGTTTGCTGTGGACTTAATTGTGCTCCAGCCTTTTAAGATACAAATTATTCTGAAGTTAAACAAGTGAGGAGTTAGATTTGAGATAAAACTACATAGGTACAAATATGAAGAAAACCGGTAAAAATGTAGAACTCTGGCCTACTCCCTACTAACAAATACAAAGACATAATCATGGAGAGAGATACAACTTCACGAGTTATTAGATGTTTGAATATTGCCAAACATTCCTTCCACGTATGACTAAAAGTCACCAGATCGTCATTGTACACTACAAAATTGGGTGTTTCCCCATATGACTTTATTGGTTAGTCTTTTGAATGTGGCTGGCACATTCTTCATACCAAAAGGCATAACTTTAAACTGATACAACTGGTGTCACGAAAGCTGAAATTTCCTTCACTCTTTCAGATAAAAGGTACCTGCTAGCATCCTCTGAGTAAGTCCAATTTTGAAATATAAGTTACTTGTCCAACCTTCTCAACAATCTTTCAAATGTGGAATAGAAGATGAATCAGATTTTGTAACTGCATTGACTGAGACAGTTCACACAAGCATTGGGTACCAGCTGGGTTTGGCACCATTACTATGGGTGAGCTCCATTCACTGCAACTCACTTCAATTACATTGTCTTTTCAAAACCATCTTAAATGTGTTTTTTGACAAATATAACAATATAAGCTCACTTGCCTACAAGTGAAGGGACAGGAATTGGAGGAAGAAACACAGAAAGCCATTTACTTTTAATGAACTGATTAGTGTTATGTGGATGTGCCCAAGAGAGTCTGATGCAACAAGATGTGGAACATCAATCATGTGGAACAAGATACAAAATGAAAACATTTGAAAAGAAGTCCTAAATGTAGGAAGAATAACTGGCACCATTCTATGTACAAACTGCTCCCTCAAGAGGCTAAAAGGAGAAATGGTTCACAATATCGTAACATTTTCCAAAAATGTATTATGTATATACACACACAGAAGAATTTATGCAAACTGATAAATTCTTAAGTAAGGTGGTCAGTTTTGCATGATGTCTATTAGCGGAAACAAATAGGGTCTGCCATATGAAAAAATGATCCAAACCTGACCAAATTGTATGTTATGCAATGTGACAACTACAAAGTAATTACTTTGTGGTGAGATGGCTTATTACAAATTGAACCACCTTTGCTTTCTTAGCTTATACCAGTCAAAGCTCTAGAGATTACAGCTGCATCATCACACATTCTTTACGCTCCTTGCAACATTTTACATCAAGTAATTTTTTTCTACTTCCAATGAGTGCTGTAAAAACAATTAGCATTAATAGTTGATACTCATCATAAGTGCCATTTCTAGTTATCTATGCACTTTAGTAATCCACTCCCTTTAATTTATCTCATGTTCTAATTTCTGCCTCCTTTCAGAGGTACTTCCAGTCCTGCCTTCAGCATTTGGCCAGACGTCTCCCATGGCAATACTGAAACCAACGTTGCCCTGGGGCTCCTACAAAAGGAAAACTGGCAATTACTGCAGATGAAAGAGGCTGATACTAAAAGTGATAAAACTCAATGAGGTTCAAGCCATTACTGAGCTGTAAAAATTAACCACAGGAGTGCAAACTGCCCAAAATCTGCAAGTTGATTCAGATTTGGAGATCTTTCCTTCAACTTGCTACTGTATTCAAGAAAAACAGCCTCTGCTTTATGGTTTGGACACTCATTTCTACAGCACTGAAAGCTTTTACAAATTCACTGACTAAATAATTGAGTAATGGGTGAATGTTCCTGGACAAAGTATTTGCAACATATTGCCTGTAGGAATGCAGTGGCAACACCTGCTCATTATAAAATGTACAATCATTGAACTTTTTTGAAAAACTTGCTGAAGTTGAAGCCAAATGGTCTACAGTGAGCATCAAGATTTTTTTAAAAAACTAAATTTGGCAGAGTTTCATCAATGGTATGTTAAGAAATGACTCCTTCCAACCTGGAACTGAGTCACGGGGCCAGGCAGCACAGATTTAAATTGCTACTTCCGGCTGGTTAATTATCTGTCAACGGAGGAGCAATCCCTGATCAGAATGACGCTGCACTGATGGAGGCCATTAGCCCCCTTATTCACCCAATTAGTTCCATTCCTCTCTTTCCTCAGCCCTGCAAATTTTCCTTTTTTGAACGTTTATCTAAATTCCCTTCACAAGTTACTATTGAATCCATTCCCATTGCCTTTTCAGGGAGTGCATTCATGATCATAACTTAGACGCTGCTTGCTGGTTGGTGATGTGTGTTGGAAAGCGAACACACTTGAGATCATCAAAGGAAAGAATTAGGTTTGACTGGGTTCTCCTTCCTTTCTAATCTTCAATCAGATAGGATGTCAGCACCCACCATCCAATTCACACAAGAAAAATGGCCAGGTGCAATACCAAATCCCATGTGTAATAAACCTCAAAACAACTTCTCCATCTGGATAGCGCTAGTAACTTGGCACAGCAGAGAACATGCACTTCAGCATAGGCATGAAAACTAAAAGGTGAAAGCAAGATATGCCAACAGCATGATCATAAGCTGAAAAAAAAAGTTATTCTTGCCAGAGGTCTGGTGCCTAGCTGCTCCCCAGGGGAGACCAAAGATAGGAGGGGGCATTACAAAAATAATTGAAAAACCGGATAGAAAAAAGCCAAAAATAATCTAAAGAATTAAGCATTTATGGCAAAGCACAAATTACAGTCAAGTGCCATAATAGTATTGGTAACATTTAAGGACACAGGAATAAAACAGCTTTGAGAGTTGGGGAACAACTGTTAACAAGTTGAAGAAAACAAAAGCAATTTCTTCTCAAGCCTTGTTGCAATCTGCTTGTAGAACATCTTAGTTTATAAGGGCCTCGTTGAATTGAATTGAATTGAATTCAAAACAGGCATTTACGACTTAGAAAAAAAACCACAGGAATTTAGTATTTGTGTGTATAATCCTATTGTAGAACAGGGTTTGATGTAAAACAATATTTTTTTAGAAAATACACAATTTAGAATTTTATTTTATTTACAAGTCAAGGAGTATAAGAAAGACTGGAATTAGCAAGTATGCAAAACTGACTTCTCATATCCATTGCTACCTTGAGCCCACCATTAACAAACTTTTCACATCTGAGAGAAAAATTATTATGGCGAAAACAAGATACATAGAACCAGCATGAGAAGCACATTACATCAAAAATAAAGAAACTTCAATGGAAGCCATATGCCACAGAACAGACAGAGTTGTCAAATATTCTAAGGAAAGATACAGGTACATTTCTCTTTAGTCACTTCTCTATTTATTAAAACTACTGGGTAATAGAAAACTAAGATGTGTTTGTGTATTCTCTTCCCTTAAGTTTCATTTGACTGAACTTTAGTGCTTAAACTAACTGATGACTAATGTCAGAAGTCCAGTTCAAAACACCACAAAGATAAAAGACTAATGCAGCAGGAGGCCCTTGAAGAGATGAAACATGCCTAGAAAGTGTAACAAGTTTTCATGAATGAAGAACTCAATGCTGTACCCCTATTTGCCTCCTTAAGATATACAGAACCTCCAAAACAGAGGCAGCTGGAACACCCAACCCAAGGACAACATTTAAATTTGCAAGGAGACTGCTCAGAAATTTCTACATCAGTTTTTTTTTTAGCCTCCAAACATATCGGAGGGGAAAAATAATCACTCTAGCGACCAAGTGATGCAAACTAAGGAATGCAGAGTGACATTACGTGGGCAATTTTATGCAGGTTAACAAGCAATACTCAAAAACAGAAACTGTTGGTGAAACTCAGCAGGTCTGGCAGTGTCTGTGGGAAGAAAGCAGAGTTAATGTTTTCAGCCCTGTTCTGATGAAGATTCACTGGACTTAAGACATTAACTCTGCTTTCTTCTCACACATGCTGCCAGACCGGCCGAGTTTCACCAGCAATTTCTGCTTTTGTTTCAGATCTACAGCATCTGCAGTTCTTTGTTTTATTATAACAAGCACTACACATGCATCCACAGGATCATATCCAAAAAAGAAAATTTGTTGACTGACTGCATAAAATACAAGATGAGAAATTTTATTATATATATAAATGAAATGTTATTTATAATAAAGAGGAAGAGGGCTAAATGAAAATTCCTTTTGCTGATACTTTCATTCCCAAGGCTTCTTCATCCAACTCTTGATGTAGAAGTGTAGTCTCTCTGCTGATGCAAGAGGCCAGTTCCTCAATCTTTGCAAAGAAACTGTGAAAGTAAACAAAGATTTTTTTTTAAAAGAATGAAATGACAAGTTAGATAAGGATCTTGGTTAGCATCCAGCTAAAACATTTTGACATCTTTCATAACAAGCAAACAACAGAACCAATGATTCAATCAGAAAACCATTCAAACTGCACTGTAGCACAGTGGGTGACTCAAGGACGATGTCATATTCAGGATGCTAGAGAGTTTCATGTTGCAATGAAACAAACAGCATTAATTTCAAAATTTCTGGTATCGATTTCATTGATAGCAACAAAATTTGGGATATTGTTATAAAGCTTTTCCAATGAGGCTTTTATAAAAAGGTGCCTGGCAGCTCCTTTTCCCTTTCTCTCAATTGATCTTTCATTCTGTCCTGATGAGAATTCCATGTTGAGGAAGATAGTTTCACAAACACTGACCAACCTCTAGTAACTTGTCAAAGAAGTTCAAGAATAACAAGCACGATCAATTCAGTCAACTATGGGGAAATAATACAATGACAGATCCAAACAACAACTTCCATTTACACAGCACCTTTAATGCAATAAAATCTCCCAGAACATGTTTCCGAAGAGCAACCAGACAAAAATTGACACCAATGCTGTGTGGTCTGTTATGGTGAGTACTGTCATCTCCGGTTCTGATCTGTATGGGTTTGTATACGGGGTCCAATTCCATATGTTTGTTGATTGAAGTATGGGTAGGGAATCATGACTCTAGGAATTCCCATGCATGTCTATGTTTGGCTTGGGTTAGTAGCTTCAAATCAACAAACAGAATTGGACCCCATATACAAACCCATACAGATCAAAACCGGAAATGACAGTACTCACCATAATGGACTGGACAGTTTAAATTCCAAGCGGAGTAGAACAACATCACTCATCGGAGGCTCCACTGATGATGTCACCTAGCGTGGTGGTGAAACGTCTGAACAAAAACAAGCCAGCTCGGCGAGCAAGTCAACAGCCTCATCCACAACCCGGGCTACAGATCTTCGCCAAAATTTTTCTGAATTCTATCTATTTGGAGTCCATATCATCTTGATCAACTATTTAAGCAGTGCTCTAGATTAAATTTTCCATGCCATTTATAACCTATACCCTTCAGGCTCATGTGGCTAACTCCTTTCAAGGCCAAAGTTTTGCAATTTAATTAGATAACAATATAAATCGAGAAATCATATCCAGCAAGTGTGAAATGGCTGATAGACTGACTATCATTTCCTGATTTAACGTTTGAATGTGAAATGTGTTGATTAAAACTAAACCAACACTGTGTGAAACCATAACCAAATGATTAACTTACGAGGTTGAATAAATCTGGCAGCAATATTGTCATAAGTTGTGCGTTTTCAATCAAGTATTAGATTGTACAGAAATTTAGTATGTTCTCTAACCCAGGTGCTGCACCATTTAATTTTGTTCCTTGTCACAGAAGCAGAACAATGAAACATTGGCAAGAGAGAAGAAATTTTCAATTATCACTGGGAATACCTGAAATTTTTTTCTGCATTACCAAAACTCTACCCCCTCAAAAACCTGCATTTAAATTGCATTAGTGCATCTATAGAGCTGATCATCCTCTTCAAAATCATCATTTTTTTTCCCATTTCCAGTCCTATATTTGAAGGTGGTTCAATAATAAAGCTCTCTGCTTCAGCAAGGACTACAAGCATTTTACTTTTTCCAAGCTTCACTGTTAAGTTAAGGACCTGGCATTTCTATAGCATCTCAATACAATTCAAGAATGCCTTCAAGTGCTTGATAAACAAATGGACAACTTTTGAATTGATGTAGAAAACACAGTAGCCAAATTGCATGCAACTGAATTCCAAGGACAGAAAATAAACAAATGACAAAAATCATCTGTTTTTGGTCTAGGGATCAACACTGGGAGTAAACTATGTTGCAATCAGTAGTATCTTTAACATTCACTCAATTATAGACTAGTTTAACAACCTAAAAGTTGGCACATCCAGTCATGAAACACTTCTTCGGTATGGCAGTGAAGCATTAGCCTAGATTACATACTCAAGTTTGTACTGGAGCTTGAATCCACAACTTGCTATTTCCCAAGGGCAACAATGCACATAAGTGAGCCAAGCTGGTTCTTCTCCAAGGGTCCCAGAGGTCAACTCTAACATTTTAAAGACACTTGGAAAATTCATATTAGCAAGGTTCTGGGTTTCAGCTTTCAAAAAAAATAATGAACAGATTCATGATATGTGACCTCCAAAACACTGGTAAATATCATATTTATTTTCATGAAAATAGAATTAAATATTCAATGCAAATCACACACTTTTTTAGACAATTCTGCATAAACTAATATTTGTGGTGTCTTTGTCTTTAAATATACAACTCTAGAACACTTCATTTATCTGTAAGTTATTCTCTCCCTAAGAATTTTCAAAGTAGCCAATTCTTGTACCAGAGTTGATAGCTTTCTTGTGCGCCAAAGCAGTAACTTGACACCTCAATTTCTTTTAGCTAGATGTGATTTATTTCATTTTTTTTTAATTCATTCACTGGATGTGGGCAACACTGGTTAGGCCAGCATTTATTGACCATCACTAATTGCCCAGAGGACAGTTAAAGCGTCAACCACATTGCTTTGGGTCTGGAGTCACATGTCAGCCAGACCAGATAAGGATGGCTGTTTCCTTCCTTAAAGGGCATTAGTGAACCAGGCGGGTTTTTTCTGACATTCGACATGGTCGCTCCTAATTCCAGATGTGTATTGAATTCAAATTCCACCATCTACCATGGTGGGATTTGAACCTAGGTCTCTGGATTAACAGTCCAGCAATAATACCACTAGGCCACTGCCTCTCCATAGGCACATACTTCAGCACACGCACATCCACATGCACACTTGCTTAGATAAACTATAATGAAAGTTACTGGAAGGAAATTTACAAAATCCTAAGATTAGCAAAGACAGAGAAAAAGTAAAATTGAGGTATCTAAAGTAGTCACGGAGAGCAGATAACATCACACATAAAAGAATTCTAATTTTTGTTTTGAAAAGGGATTCTGCACCAATACCTCTTCATCTCTGTATCTGTATTTGCAGCTGCCTTTCCAAGTTCAATTCCAGCTTTTGAATTCTTTCTGTCTAGTCCAAGTCCACATTCACCTAAAATCTGACATGTTGTTCTTAGATGAATTTTCAATTCCTCTGTAAAGAAAACATTGGCTTAAACATATTACAAGACAAAGCTACCTACATAAACTCTATGAAGAATCTTTGGGGAAATTAGATGAATTTAAGCTGCATTCACACCATTATATCACTTGTACAAATTGTATTTACATTAATAGACAGTCAAATATCTTCTGCAATTTATCCAGCAATCTGAAATGGGCACTTCACAGGCTGCCTCAAACCTGCTACATTATAAAATGTCACATCTACAATCGATGACAAAGCGCCTCAGGGAACTGGCTGCTGCATTAAAGCAGTTAGCTTTTTTCATTTCTGGATCTGGAATTAAAAATATAGACAAAACCAATGGAACAAAAAGTGGCCTCTGCATGGGGGAAAAGAAAATTCTACAAGAAAAACAAGATCAATACAGCTCAAACTGGAAACAGGTCCATCACACAAAATTGACCCCGTCAAAGCACTCACTTAGCCAGCCTATGCAGTAATGCGAGAATTGCAATATTATTTTTCTGGCGCTATGAGAAGTGCTTTACTGAGTTTTCAGTTTGTTTATAGGATGCGGACATCACTGGCTAGGCCAGCATTAAAGCAGAGATACCGGAACCAAGGCAGTAACAACTGGTGCTGCATAAACAATCAAATAGTTTGATATACCATATCATGAACCTAAATCCAATTGAGAATAAGGAGAGATAAAAGAGGGATGTAGGTATCCCGCACTATATGTAATCAACCATATGGGTCAGGAGAAGTGAAACTATAGAAAGTTAGCACACAATACTTCAGGGCATGTCCTTGCAGCTCCACCGGCAGGAACTGATAACTTGCCATCTACCTACAGCTTGGCATTGACAAGTAATAAAGTACCCTATAAAATAAGTTAAAAGTCTAATAAAACTGCTTATGATGTATTACTCTTCAACTACAAGATATAAAACAAAGGCACACAGTTAAACATAGCAAGGAGACTCTGCATTAATACAATGTTGCTTTGCATCAGAATAAAATTTATGTGAACTTTTTGCTCAATATCAAATTAAATCAATGCATCCAAAAAGCCTGAGGAAACCAGGCTGCCTGAGCCAAGTTCATTCCATGAGTCAGCTCACTGGAGACACATTTAATGGACATTAGTACAGTTATCTTATCTCTGTCCTACTTGGAAAATAAAAATAAATTTTTCACTATAGTTTACTATCTGCTGGCTGAGCATCCTATATGGTAGCACAGAAGTAAAATAACATAGTTTCACAAACGTCCTTCACTGGTCCCTCAGATGATTGAATGAAATACCTCGTGAGGAACATGGCAGGTCTGGTCACTAGACTACGATGAATCAATTGATTACGACACAAATAGCCGGGTCCTGGAGAGTGGTGCCGAACAAAGAGACCTTGGGATGCAGGTTCGTAGTTCCTTAATGGTGGAGTCCCCAGGTAGACAGGGTAGTGAAGAAGATATTTAGTACACTTGCCTTTATTGGTCAGTGCATTAAGTATAGGTGTTAGGAGGGCATGTTGCTGCTGTACAGGACATTGTTAGGTCACTTTTGGAATATTACATTCAGTTCTGGTCTCCCTGCTATAGGAGAGATGTTGAACTTGAAAGGGCGCAGAAAAGACTTACAAGGATGTTGCCAAGGTTGGACAGTCTGAGCTATAGGGAGAGTCTGAATAGGCTGGGGCTATTTTCCCTGGAGTATCGGAGGTTGAGGGGTGACCTTATAGAGGTTTATAAAATCGTAAGGGGCACAAATAAGGTGAATAGCTGAGGTCTTTTTCCCTGGTTAGGGGAGTCCAAAGTTAGAGGGCATAGGTTTGAGGTGAAAGAGGAAAGATTTAAAAAGAATCTAAGGGGTGACTTTCGCACACAGAGGGTATTGTGTGTTTGGAATGAGCTGCTAGAAGAAATGGCGGAGGCTCATACAATTACATTTAAAAAGCATCTGGATGGATATATGAATAGGAAGGGTCTAGAGGGATATTGGTCAAATGCTGGCAAATGGGACTAGATTAATTTAGAATAGCTGGTTGGCATGGATGAATTGGGCCATGATGTTCAACTCTATGACTCTATGGTTCCATCACAACTCAACTTTCAACTCCTGAAAGAGCGAATGAGGATTTGAGGATGTAGCCCATATGCTTAGTCTGTAATGTTGCAATAATTGAATAGTGTCTCAGCACATTATCAAACATAACAATGTCATGAGATCACCCTTTGTAATTATACTCTAGCACAAATCAGCATTATCAGCACTGAAGGAATATAACTGGACATGGGCTTGTGAAACACAATACCAGTGCCCATGGGGAACAGTACTCTTAATCCTTGTTATCCGCAGATTCACCATCCACGGATCTGTGTATGCGTAACATTGGCCCTAGGACCCATTCTTTTTTTCTGATCACGTGGTTCTTCAGGGTAGATAGCAGAGTTACATGGTACTAGCATCCACACTTTTGTTATTCATGGGAAATGATGCCCCTATTCCCCACGGATAATGAGGACTGTGTGTTTAACAAAACACTTTGAGTAGAGTTAAGCTCGGCAAGCAAACAGCCACTTATCTTGGTCTAGTTGTTACCACAGAGTTGCTATCATGTATAAAGCTTTACTTCAATTATCAAGAAGGAAAACTATAGGTGCCAATTTACAACTTGTAGTTAAGGCAACACCTTCACAGTAGCATTGTAATGCATCAAGATTTAGTTTTCTACCTTCCAGCAACATAAAGCATATGGCTCACGGTTTTAATTGCTCAGCAGGAATGCTGTGCATCATAACATTTTTCATTCATGTATTGAAGACATGACACATGTCTTTTCTACGAATGCCTTTTATCACTGACCCACAACTTCCAACCCTTTCTCTTGAAGGTGCTAAGTCTTGATGACTATAGTTCGACAGCAGCCAACAGCTAACTCGGACAGGTGATCATTTTTCCATCAAGGAGAATAGAGAGTATTAATCAACTATTTAAACATGGAAGATGTCACTGCAAATTTCTCACATTCGTGATACATTGACTTTTCAGCAAGGATCTGTAGAAATCAAATAGGAAACAGAATTGGGATGGTAAGAAACATAGAAAATAGGAGCAGGAGTAGGCATTTCAGCCCTTCAAGCCTATTCTGCCATTCAAAATGATCATGGCTGATCATCTAACTCAGTCCCCTGTACCCACTTTCTCCACACACCCTTTGCCCTTTAGCCCTAAGAACTAGATCTAACTCCTTCTTGAAAACAGTGTTTTAGCCTCAGCCGCTTTATGGTAGAGAATTCCACAGGATCGCCACTGCCTGGGTGAAGAGATTTCTTCTCATCTGAGTCCTAAATGGCCCATCCCATATACTTAGACTGTGAGCCCTGGTTCTGGGCTCCTCAGTTGTTGGGAACATGCTTCTAGCATTTACCCTGTCTAGTCCTATTAGAAATGTATAGGTTTCTATGAGACTTCCCGCTCATTGTTCCAAACCCCAGTTAATATAGTTCAAACCGATCCAGCCCCTCTTTAGGCATTAATCCTGCCGGAATCAATTGGTAAATCTTTATTGCACTCTCTACATAGACAGAACATCTGTGCTCAGATAATAAGACCAAAACTGCACACCATACTCCAGATGTGGTCTCACCAAGGCCCTGTACAACTACAGCAAGGCATCCCTGCTTCTGTACTGAAATCTTCTTGCTACGAAGGCCAACATACCATTTGTCTCCTTCACCACCTGCTGCACCAGCCTGCTTGTTTTCAGTATGAAAGAAGAAACACAAATGTGCCAAAGCCACTGAAATACCTCTGCTGCTTCCCCACCTAACATCACTTACTCACCACAAACCAAGAAACAAATCTGGTTTGCGTTACAAAGTTGTATTTTGCCTTAATAACACAGCATTCAGAGAAGCTAAATCCAAACTTATTGCATCCTCTATGTCAAAAGGTCAAATCTGTCAAAGGACTTCAGCCTACCCAAAAACATCCTCAGGTCTTCTGACATATAAATGTTCTTCATTTGAAGGCTATGCCTTGTTGTATCAAGAGCCTGACCAAAAGATTTGTACTGTGTTTTGAACAGTTGAATAGATGCCACCACAGGTCTTAAATGCTCCACCTGTAATGAGAATGAATTGAATGCATTATTACAAAACTAAATGAAAATAACAGTTGCAATAAGCATAAATTTCAACTGTAATTCAAGAATTGTAAAACATACAATAACACAGATGTCCACTGGTATGGCATATTTAGATTTTCAAAAAGCTTTTGATAAGGGCCTATACAAGAGGTTAGTAAACAAAATTTGAACCACAGATCAGGAGAATATACTTTTAAGAATTAAGAACCAGTTAACAGACAAAAATTACAGCAGGAATAAATAGGGCATTTCCAGGTTAGCTGACGGCACCTAGTGGGGTACCACACAAGAAAAAAGTGAGTGGGGTCCAGATAGTCACAATCTACAATGATTTGAATGTGGAGATTAAAATTAACATTTCCAAATTTGCAGATCAGACAAAACTAGGTGAAAGTGAGAATTGTGAAGAGGAAGCAGTGACAATTCAAGAGAATTTGGATGGGCTAAGTGAGTGGAAAACAACATGGCAGATGAAATACAGTGTGACAAAAATGCAACAACATTCCCTTTGGGAGCAAAATAGAAATAAAAACGGTATTTTCTCAAAAGATGAGTGGTTAAAGAAAGTGTTAACGTGCAAAGGTAATTAGGTGCCCTTGTTCATGAATTACAAACAGTATACATGCAGCAAGTGATAGATTGGCCTTTATCACAAAAGGCTTGAGCGTGGAAGTAAAGACAGCCTCGAGGCTGTACTTGGTGGATTGCGTGCAGATTTGGTCTCCTTGCCTATGGAAAGATATAGTACCTAAGGCTAGTAAAACAAGGATTATGAACCTAATTCCTCAACTGGAGGGAATGTCACAGAATCATAGAATAGAATCATACAATCCCTACAGTGCAGAAAATGGGCATTCACCTTGCTGGGGAAATAAGAACAAGGAAACATAATCTCAGAATAACGGGCAAGTCACTTCAGACGGAGACAAGGAGGAATTGCTTTACTCAAAGTATGCAAATATTGGGAAACCTCTACCTTAGTGGGCTGTGTAGACTCAGTCATTAAGTATATTCAAGACTGAGATCAATAGATTTCTATACATTAAAGCAGGAAACTGTTGTTGAGGTAGATCAACCACAACAAGTTTGTACGGTGTAACAGGCTTCAGGAGCTGAATGCACAGATTCATGTTCTCATGAAAGTGAAAAAAATTCAAACAGCAAAATAAAGTAAGAGGAGTGCTTAAAATCACAATTCAGAATCTCAATCAACAGTTTTGAATAAAAGAAAGATAGATGTTTCCACTCGTGTCGTAAAATGGATGGAGCTCAAACCAATCTTTAGAAGGAGCCTTGTAGTTCCACTAAAGCTTGTGCCATAATTGGTTAATTCAAATTTATACGAGCACAGGTGTTCAGGAAATGGGTAAAACATTTCTTCTATTATGTAATGCTTAATGGATATGCCTGGCAGCAAAGCATCCTTAAGATTACAATCCAATTCTTGCATGAATAAAATAAAACAACAAAATGTCAATTGACGTACCACCATCACAGTAAGTCCAGAACAAGAGAGCACAGGTTTAAGGTGAGAGAGGCAAGATTTAAAAGGGACCTGGGAGACGGGAGGCGGGAGGGCTTTTTAAACACAGGAGGATGATGCGTATATGGAATGAGCTGCCAGAGGAAGTGATAGAAGGGAGTACAACTACAACTTTTAAAAGACATTTGAACTGGTACATAGATAGCAAAGGTTTAGTGGGATATGGGCTAAAACAAGGCAAATGGAACTAGTTCTGTTCAGAAAACCTGGTCGGCGTGGACAAGTTGGGCCAAAAGGTCTGCTTCTGTGCTTTTTGACTCTATAACACTAATACATTAGCTCACAAGAATGGTAGCAATGTAGTCTCTGTGTTAAAAAGCTTGACTCTATGGCAGCAATGTAATACAATCAGAAGAAGAAAATTAAGTTATCATAAGCCTCTGAAATAGTGAAGGCTATTTATGGAAATGTTTGAAAAAAAAATACACACAATCTATATTTGAGAAGCTATATATTTTAACTACTTTTATTTTAGTAAAGCCTAGGTCAAGAGCCAGAATAGAAAGTCAGGCCCTCTATAAAATGAGTTTTACATTTTTGTTTTATAATTTTGCTCGCTCCCAACTTAAACAGTAAATTGGACTAAAACTTTCTTCCAGGCTGGAGCAGGACTAAACAAGTTATCTACTGGACAGGAGATGAAATTATTTTATTAAGGTGACAATCTGATCCAGTTTTGTAACTGCCAGAAAGCTCATGCTTATTAAAGGAAAGCTGGAACAGACTGCAGCTGGAACAGAGTGCCCCAAACCTGAGGGTTGGATGAGGAAGGGAGTTCAGTGAAGAGGAGAGGGAGGTGCTCCTTTCTTTTCCTACCTTTATCAGCCTCCAGGACAGCAGGAATTGAAAATTGTACGAGGGAACAGAAAGTTAGTGGGAGTTTAGCAATGTGAAGTCTCCATCCCCAATAACATTCGATAACAATAAAAGATGTTATCACAGGGAATCAGGCAAGTGATTTTGCTCATTTACTGTATCTTTTTAAGTCAAGGAACTATATTAGTAATTATAAAAGGTTCATTACTATTAGTAACATTTACAATTAGTAACAAATCTTACAGGTAGTACGGTTTATTAATTAAATAAAAACTTAACTAAGACACAATAAAGATAGGAGGATAGGTGATCTGTTGTGTCTACAGAATGTGGGAGCTCCTGTTCGCTAGCATGAAACAAGGCAAACTAGTCTGCAGTAAGAACTTTGGCTAAGAGTTTATGAGCTGGAGGCCAAGCTGCAATGCATCAGGGAGGGGAAAGGTTATCAGGAGGTAAAACTGCTTCAGTCTTTGCAATTGTCCAACACATACATTTCAATCAGCTTGACTGGATAAGAATGAGTGCTGCAGTGTGGGCGCTAAGTGACAATAGCACTGTAGTGCAGAAAGCCATTTGCATTATTTTGGTAGCAAAAAGTGAGAATCCAGAAGGCTGTATTACTGCCTGGTGCAGGACATTTACTGAGAGCTAGAGAGGAATTTATTGTTGGGAGGAAAAACAATTCCAGTCATTGCGCTCCATTGAGTTTTAACAATATAAGCATGACGTGGAAAGAGATTTGGAATAGGTTGTATGAGATTCTAAGCTCCAAATTAAAAAGTAGAACCTCAAAAAGTAATAATTTCAGCATCATCACCTGGACTACAGCATAGCAGTTAACAAAGTCAATAAAAACAGAAAATGCCGGAGAAACTCAGCAGGTCTCACATCATGTGTGGAGACAGAAACCGAGTTAACATTTTGAGTCTGATATGACTTCTTCAGGCGAAGAAGGGTCTTTGGACTTGAAGTGTTATCTGTTTCTCGCTCCACAGATGCCACCAGTCCTGCTTCGTTTTTATTTCAGATTCCCACCATCTGCTGCATTTTGCTTGTAACAAACTGAATAATGTTGATCCAATAGAAAGTGACTCTGGGGAATTAATAACAGAAGAAGTACTAGCTGGCAGATGAACTGAACAGTTTTTTTTGGCATTCGTCTTCACTGTAGATGATTAAGAGGGTGGGCAGGGGGTGCAGAGGGAGACGGAGGGTGGGGGGGGGGGGAAAGAGAGAAAGAGAGGAGGCGGCGAAAGCAAAGGGGAAACAAAGGAGGGGAGGTGAGGGACAGGAGAGGGGAAGCAGAGAGAGGAGGGGCGAGGAAAAGGGAAGTGGGAGGACTGGGATTTGAGATCCATTACATTCCCCACTAGAGACACTTGATTCCCAGTTTTCTTTCCAGTTACAGTGCCCTAATGAGCTGTTTGATTCATTATTTAACCAAGTTCAATTTGTTTTTTGTTTCAAAAAAGCACTCAAATGTTTAAAAGTTGCAAAGTGGACATAAGGAAGGGATACAAAGATGTATAGATAAGTTAAGTGAGTGGGCAAAGATCTGGCAAATGGAGGAGAATGTGGGAAAATGTGAAATTGCCCATCTGGGCAGGAGAATATAAAGGTACATTATCTGAATGGTTGCATAGCTAAGATGCAGGTGGATCTGAATGTTCTAGTGCATGATTCACAAAGATTAGTACGCTGTACAGCAACTCATTAGGAAACCTAATAGAATGTTATTGATTACGTGAGGACATTGAATACTAAAGTAATGAAGTATGCTTCAGTTAGTCAGGGCATTGGTGTGACCTCATTTGGAGTACTGTGTACAATATTATTTAAAAAGGACAGACATAAATGCATTGGAAGCAGTTCAGAATGATACTTGGAATGGGTGTTTAATGAGTAGAGAATGGACAAGTTATGTGAAGTTGAGATAAGACTTAATTGGAACTCAAGATCCAGAGGGTACTTGACGGATTGGATATGGAGTGTTTAAAAATAAAGGAGTGTCTCATTTAAGATGGTGAGAGAACATTTTTCCCCCACCAGAGGGCTGAAGCAGAATTTGTGAACATTTGTGACGAAGGAACAGCACTCCAAAAACTGGTTATTTCAAATAAACCTGTTGGATTATAACCTGGTGTTATGTGACTTTTGACCTTTCTAAATAAGTATGAAGAGAGGTAATGTCAGGCCCATTTGACTGAAACATTATGGGGAAAGGGGAAAAGAGTAAGTAATTAAATGAAATAGCAGAAGTTATTGTCCCCTAGCAGCAATTAATTTCAGATAAATTTAAACGTCATTCCTTAAACTGCAGAATCAGTTTAAACTGTGCAACCAAAAGCGTCTCAAATTATAAAATGCACGATAACCTCCTCCTCCCTTTTTCAATGTTTAATGTCAATGCAAGTTAATGTTAACTCACCTGCTGCTCTATCATCCCATCCAGTTGCTTGTTTTTCTCCAGCAAAAGGAGATCCTGTTTCTGTTGAAATATTTCTTTCCGTAAATGCTGGTTTTCTTCTTCAATCAGAAGTAAGCACTCTTCTGCCCTTTCTTGGTATTTTGCCAAATTATTTTCCCTCTACAAGCGGAACAAAAATGAAGTGTGAAACAGGACTCCTTACTTCAAACCTTTGCCAAAACAATTATAATTCTCAAAATTATTTTGAATTTGATCACAAAAAAACTGAAAAGATGCTAATTTGGAAGGAAAGAATATTTCCTATTTCAGAAACAAATCTGAGCACAGGCAGAGGTCTAGCCCCAAAGCTTGCATTAGATTCAAGTCCATCTGCCCCAGAATACGAAATAAAAACCAAAAGAACTGCGGATGCTGTAAATC